ACGATTGATGCCACTCTGTCACCCTTGAGCATTTTGAGAAATTCAAGATAATAATTATAATATAACAAGTGCGATACGTCTTTTTATAGGTTTTTTTGGGTGGAGATTACAATTTTGATGTCAAAATATGATTTTTGAATAAATCCTATAAAGATATACAAGATAGCGTCAAAATTTAGAGTTAAAAAGTTTACCATTTACTCCAATACCCTTACTTAAATATCCCCATCCCACATATCCCAATGTGTAATTGTGCAAATAACTACCAATATCAAAGCAAAAGTTTTGGTTAGTAGTAATTTTCACAGTTAGGGCCGGTTGCACAAAGACAGTTTAAACCTAGCTTGGAATTAACCAGTGGATTACGGTCTATGATTGGTTGAAATTTGACGTTTTGTCAAATTTCCACTAATCATGTCTTAATCCATTGCGTTAATTTAAACGAAGTTTAAACTGCGTTTGTGCAACCGGCCCTTACAATATTAACTTTTTTTCAGCATTTGTTTTTTCAGGAACGGGTTTTCTTTATGTCTGAAATTACTTTATATTAAAATACTTTCGAAAATAAAAACACATTTTTCTTTTTGCAAGACTATCAACGCCAGGATGGAAACTAAAAGTGAACATAAAACAAGTTGTAAATCAGCATATGCATGATTAAAGCGCATTTTTGGTAATGCAGGTCAGCATTTTATTAGCGAAGTTTAAAATTATCGATCTCACGAGTAATTTTGGCTGCGTTAAATAATTAATCTTATTTAATTTCAATTGACGGTACGTCTTCATTTTGTAAAACAAATCACAAAGTAAATAATAAGTTTTTATACTAGTAGCGCTATCTAACGGTAAAATTATAGCACCTCCGAAACCCATATCGAAATTATTTTCTTCAATTATCGATCTCACAAGTAATCTAACTCAAAATAGGCTAGTGCCTGCACATCTACACTATAGCAGAAAGCTTTTAGTGAAAATTTGAAGTCTCTAGCTATTGTAGTTGTGGAAATCTAACGCGGACAGCCGGCCTGCCAGCAATAACGAATATAATAGCGTATTTTTTTCAAAAATGCGCTAAAAGTGCATATTTCAGTGTGAGAAATCCGAACAGTTAATGACAATCAGTGAACAAAAACTTCAAACAATAATTAGTGCGTGCGACCAACGTGAAGATGAAACGCTGAAAAATTGGATTGAAGACCAGCAGAGACTAGAGATCCATGAATTTTATTGTCATCGCTTTCGTGTGTCGACATACACATCCAAGACCCACATTGCCAGATTGTTCAAAAAAAGTAGGAGACAAGAAGAATCTAAACCAACAGAAGTGCGTAATCTGCGATCATTTAGTGCGATCATTTAGTGCGTTCGATTTTAGAGAAGACTGCTTGTTGTGCACCGAAAAATGTCGTGAAAAAGATCCTAAAAACCCAAGCCGATTTAACGAATTTTATATTGTACGAACATTGGACATAAATCAAAACATTCTGAAAGCTGTGAAAAACGCCAAGACAAATGGGCAGAAAAAGTGAGGTCTAGGATCGTTGGATGCTGCCCAAAACCTTGTTCTTCCTAAAATTGACGTTACGCAATATGGATGGGAAAAAGATGACGAAAACAAAATTTTAAACCCAATTTCTGTCCCCAAAAATACTAAATTGACACCAGATTTTATATTCTAGAGCTTGCTAAATGCTCTTGCAAAGCTAATGACCCCTGCAGCTCGAACAGATGTGGTTGTCTATCAAATGGGTTGTCATGTAGCCTGATGTGCAAATGCATGATGGATAAAAGGGACGAAAATAAATGTAAAAATCCACTAAATTTGTGGAAACTGCGCAAAATGAATCAGAAAGCGAAGAATCGGACGAGTAAATTTATGTTTATCTGCAATATTTTTTTGTTTGTTTGTTATTTTTTTGTTTAAAAATAAGTAAGTAAGTAATCTGTAATCTGTAAGTAATATATTTGAGTTTGAGTTAATATATTTATTTTTTTGTTTGTTTTTTATTTTATTCACTAGTTCCAGCTTCCCCCCTCAAGCAGCTTCCCCCCAAAAAAATAATTAACAAATAGGAGGTTCTGTTTTAGTTTAAATCGTTGTGCTATATGCCCATATTTTTTATAACTTTAATTTTTGTATTTTTTGCTGACTTGGCCGCCATCTTGAATTTCTCAAAATGCTCAAGGGTGTCAAGGTGGCATCAAACGGATTCTCAAAGTAGACATCCTTATGAACTAAAAGCCGTCAAAAAACCTTCACCGTACCTCACTTCCAGGTTAAACCAAAAATCCCAGTTTGGCATCCAGACTGCTATACCAATGGACAATATCAAGTTTTTCTTAAGTTAAATACATCAAACACGAACGAAAATAAAAATACGGAAGCTAAAGCCATAATATTCCAATTAATTAATATGACATCAAAATCTTTATTTGTTTTTAAAAGTTATTTTAGGTGCATAAAATTATAGGCGTCCCTCAGCAGAGTTTTTGTCATTTAAAACAAGACATAGGAAATCCCTATGCCCTACTTCTAAATGAATAGCACTGTATGTGAGTGAAGTTAAAAATGTCTCAAGTAAAATTTGAGATTAAATGCTCTTAAAGATAGCCATCTCTGGGCAATTTAAAGGTATTTCGTATATTGTTTGAACTCATTGATATGGGGATTGTTATAAAAATTATTTTAACGTTGTTTTAATTTCAATAAAGGAAATAAGTTCACTATGAATATTTATGAGGGTGTTTAAATTTGTATATAAAAAATGTTGTTAGTATGTACCCTAGAAGGGCACGAACAAACATCATTGTGGTGGGTAAAACGTGATACAAATGATCGGAAAAGACGCATATAAAATAGACAATTAATCGGAGAATTACTCTTTCTACTATTTTAAAAGTCAAATCAAATGTAAGGACAATTAATCTTCTTCGCGAGTTATTGTCCATTAAAGCCCGATATAAATTGATGGAGGTCTAAATTATAATCATTAGCAGCGTGCAGAAGCGCACCGCATGATATTTTGGACACGGAACAGCGCTTCGATTAAAAAGGGCCCATCAAACAACGATATGCATGATTAATGAAGGAAGCCCAGTTATTGATGTGTTGCGATTTATTTACACATACATTTACAGGCATCATAAAAAGGAAAAATGGCTTCGTGTGCGCGCCGAAAAATAAAATTCTTTTTTTTTGTTATAAATGGGTTTAGGTATCGAAGAATGATTCGTGTTAGGCATCGTATCCGCCGATGCAAATTTAAATGCATATTCTACCGAGTATGTAACGAATAAATTTCAATCTGTGTGTTTTATTGCATTGTAAGAGATGAAAATCAACATTTTTCCGGGATGGAGTCCATGACGTCAATAACATTTTAAATTGGATTCCAGATTTATCTGTACAACATGCAGATGCACTAGTGCAGTATGAGATATACTCATTGCATATGAGTTGTTGAACACAAGGGTAAAAAAGTGTATTAAAAAAAGGGAATAGATCCTGGGGATTTTAAAACGAATGCTGTTGTTATTTTCAGATTCAGTGCAATTGGAATTTTATGTGAATTTTTTAATTCAACTGGATGAAAATACGTCCTTTGTTAGGTATAGACAGAATGTTGAAGTGTAAGGATTATCCGGGATGTCTGTATGAATATCGGAATCGTATATAAATAAAAACATTCATGTTGGAAGTTATTTAGTTTTTATCTTTTAATATAATACTGTACCGAATATTCCAGAAATCTCGATAGTTATCAAGACGCCATGACAGCTTTGCCATCGGTGATACAAAACGAACAATTTTTCTGGGCCGTGTTTTGCTGATTTTAAGAACATTCGAGAAGACTCACGACCACTCGGGAACACTCGAGTTTACTATACAAGCAAATCGAATTGCGTTTCAGGACAGTTCTCGTCGAAGTAATAAATGTTCGTGCTGTTATAAATTGTGTATTCGTGAGTGATAATAATATTTTAACTGTTATAGATTGTTATACAGTTACTGTTAATTAATTATTAATAAATAAGGCACGTAATTCCATTTACGTTACGTTACGTCTTGGTGATGTTTCATATTGAAAGAAAGGCATGACCATTACGTTGCAAAATGTTTGCTTATGTTGTGCAATTAGAGGTACCTAGCTTGTTACCAAGCCTTAATATCTTCTCAAACATTTGAAATTTTTCTTCTATTGGTACCTCGAAACCCCTGTTTCTGTGATAGGATGAAAACAAAAAGTTTGACTTTTTGGGATGTTATCCTACTGCCCATGTAAGATAGAAAAAGGGGAAATACAGCTTATTTTATGTACGTGTAGGTCTACGTACCTCCAGTGGCGTAGTAAAAAAAATTTTAAATCGCCGTTTCTGAGACATGACCAAATGTTGGTATATCTCTGTAATCTGTATATCTTAACGTTCTTGCATTCTTTTGCCTGATTACATTGATGTATGACAATCTACAAGCGTAGTTAGATTGATTTTGTTTGTGGCATTAAAAGTTTCACAGTGGCACAGAGTCGCGAAAACCGCAAGTGCTAACTTTAAAAATGAGATACACCGCAGCCTCAACCAAAATAACACGGTACAGTTTGGTAACATTCATTTATTTGCGAGTCGCCTATTTTTCGAAGTATACCACCGAAGCCAAAGTCCAACTGTTGGCCACCACCTCGAACGTATCACGTTTCATTACCATTTTCGCCGTCACAGTCTTGAGTTCTAATCTCAGGTCTAATCTCATCTGTGGATAATGGAGTTTACGTTAATTCCAAATTCCAATGTACCACCCCGTATACTTTTCCGGTTCCGATACAGTTCCACTATCATTTACAATTGCCTATTACTGTTTTAACGAATGATTATCTATCGCTTAATAGTTTTTTTAATTACACCAACATCGATATACTAATTATATACGCCTTCTTGTAATTATACGTTTTTATACCTAGTTACCAATATGTAATTGTTTATAATTACTTTTATTTTTGTTTCAGGTTAGTATCTATTAGTGGTAGCCTATCGACATCATGAAACGCAGGGTAAGAACAAAATAATTTACTATAGTAGTAGATCGTTCTTTTGCATTGCCAACAAATAAGAAATGAATCAAATCTTTCTTAAATGCTGAGTTAGTATACGTAGATCAATATGGGGAGAATTATCACTCAAATTTAAGTAAAAAAATACTTTTCGCAGCACAGTTTCTAAAGAGACTGTCCTGTTTCTTATATTGAGCCAATATGAAAAGTGAACGCTGATCCAAATAGTGCAGTAATTTATTTTCCATTATTTGTTATATTCTAAAAATAGCAAAAAATAGCAAAGGATACATTTCATATAAAGAAAAACATACCGCAGATAGCTAGCTACAGTCTTTTGTCAAAAACTGATCATGATCAATGTATGGAAAATGCGATAAAGTAACTCGTCACTATAGAGCGAAAACCTTTTTACTTATAGTTTGATTCCTACTCTGTAAATTTGACTGATTAGGTAGGGACCATTTAGTTTGTTGGGAAAATGTAAAGCGAAATATTAAAAATCATCGGTTGACATTTCGTGTGGGTGACTGGTGTATCTAGTGATACTTCAAGACACAAAACAAAATGCTATAAACATGTAGAGCGTTGTAGAAGATCCACGCCATGTAAACACTACGTCGCAGAAATTGTTACGTGGAAGAGTCGTCCCATAGAGACTAGTCAATGTGGATTCACATTTCACACGACGCCAAAAAACCAAGGGGTCTGTAACTTTATACGGAAGACAAGACACTACGCTATTGCGATTGGTTCTAAACATATTATGACACTGTTGTAGCTTTAATTTCTAAGGTAGTTACAACATATTTGATATTATTGAATATTACAGAAAAAAGCAACCGTTATAAGTAAAAAAATTAATTTGTTTTCCGATGCTCTTTTGATTTTATATCAAGAGTTTTTTTTAATGTGTAGCATTATCAGAAATTGAAACTAAAGTATTTTTTTCCTATACAAGGAGAAACTTACATTTTCTCGCCTGTGTGAGGACGCGAAAGAAGACAATTGCACGCATGGAGCGAGAAAATTCAATTTTGTCGGCTAGGCGAGAAAAAAAATACGCCTTATGTACGCTAGATGGCGCGATTGTAATAAAATGTCAAAGAAGTTATTTCTTTTTATTAAATAAGAAACATAAAATCGTCAACACTGATTTAATAATTAAATTTACCCTATGTTCACTTTATTTTACTGAATTCAAGAATTTATTTAATTACCGCGAACCTCTATAATTATACCTATCAATGTTTCGTGAATTTGAATACTTTCACAACATCACGTGACCAATTCAGACGTTTCAAACTTAAGTAATCTTCCATGTACTTTCAATAACGAGCATCTGTGTCAATACATTTAACACCAAGATGTACTTTGCACTGTAAGTAGAACACCGCTTATCCGCAATAAGTAGCATTTTAACATACGAGACTATCCCGAAGTTAAAATGTGTCCAGTGTGACTGTAAGGAATGAATAAATCTATTTATAAAACACATTTTTTTAAAATACAAGATCATCAAGGATTTAAAGTGTGCCCATTGCGCTTTCGTCGCCAAGCATAAATCCAGTCTTAAAATTGACAAGACATGGATACTGCGAAGGATTTAAAATGTAACCGGTGTGATTTTGTCCCTGAAAACACACATTCAATTTTAAAACACATTTGTTAATACAGAAGACCAGTAATAATTACATATGCGCCTGGTATTAATTACAACCCCTTAAATCCCGTTATTTTCTAAGGAAATAATCACGCGCCAGTGAAATGCCGGAAATGTCAACTCAGTTCGCACATGATCGGTATTCTCTACTTGCACCTCTGCTCTGTTGCACCGTGACTCCCTTCGGTGACTCCGCACTGTGCAATCGCAAGCGCGCTAGAATTTGAATTTGCGTTGAACTGTATTATAAGGGAAAGGGGTAAATCTACTAGTAAAAAATATACTCGTGGGCCCACTTAGATTGCACCGTTTCGTAAAATTTTTTTCGCGTAGTCAGCAGGAAACGTGGAAATAAACAAAACAAACGCGTGCACGTTGACGCGTTAAAGCAAATCCAAATTCAAGCGCTTGCGGTCGGACGTTGTTGAGCGATTAATTTTAAATGTAAGTGTATAGGATAAAAAATATTGTGTGCACCACGGCACGAAAGTTGTTTTCCGGGCCTCAGGAAGTGGCCAGCCTCGGCTGCGCCTCGCCTGGCCATATCTTCCTTCGCCCCGGAAAACAACCACTTTCCCGCCTTGGTACACAAAGTACTATTTTTCTTCTTACATTATTTTCCTATCTTCAATAATAAAAGAAATATACGCTTGGACACGCAAAATCAATCACACTGTATGTATAGGTATATGTATATGAAATTTTCTTCCCAAATTGGTATTAATAGTTTATTTATTAGTAGAATAAAATCGTAAGATATTGTGAGATGTAAAAAGAAAACTGCGGTAGAAAATACGCCATGAGCCTAATCTCCGCTCGTATCATAATGTAGCGTAGATGTATATAAGAATTTATAAAAAATTAAATTAGGCCCGGGAAACTTTAGGGAAAAGTTATGCGTTTATTTTTATAGTGTTTCTTGTGTTTTTAAATTTTATCTCTCATACAGTTTCAAAATCATGACACAAAAAAACAAAGTAGTGATTAGAAATTGTTATGCGCATAATAAACAAATTGTGTGAGAGAGAGAGAGTTGGGTTAATTTCGTTAAATAAGTAACGTAATTATTTCGAAACGATGCCTGAAAACGGAACTGCTTAAAAGCCAAGCACAAAAAGGTACAATTAGAGTTAAAAACCCAATCAAAGTCTGATATGATCTGAAAGAGGGTCGGGGACCCGTCGTCGCTATAGAGAGGCTGAAATGAGAACTGACATAAACGGATAACTACGTTTATATTAGCGAAGCTGGGTGAATATCAATTTAAAGAAATGTTGCAGATTAGTAATAATTACGTTAATGTTTATTAATTTAGTCGTTTCTTTTTTGTACTTACAGCAACACGCGCCAAGATTAAAAAGTTGGTGTTCCGGTATAAAGCCTTTACGCCGGAAAAATTTGTCATTTGAATACATCAAAGCGACTTTCCTTTGAGAATTATTAAGAAATCTAATTAGCTTTTTAAAGGAACAGCGTAAATTAAGGTACGAGATGCTTCTTTAGTAACGATTAGCCTCCCCAGTATTTATAATCGTTTTTCAGCGCTCTGTAAACGTAGTAAACAAGCATACCCAAGAGTTCTGCGCAACCAATTATTGTACCAGATACAGGATAAACAGTGACAAAAGCTTTGAGTAAGGGGGTTGAAGGGCGAGTCGGCGCGCACGACATGCGAATCAATAAAAACCGACACTTTTTTACTCTACACACGTCTATCCGTTCACGTATATTACATGTATAGTCTGGATATATGTATGTGGAATTTTGCCACGAATTGGTGCGAATCACACCTTCTTGCTACAGATTTTTAACGCGGTAGCCATTTTATTGCCGCTACGGCGCTTTATATTTTCAAACGTTCAACGCCTTCAGCGTCAAAAAACGCAATTTGTTCAATTTAATTACTTACGAAGTTTTATGCTCGATTAAAAATATGCAAATTTCCTTTCGTGTTAAGTAGCTTAATAGATAACCCCTTTTAGTTGATAACATCCTGTTTCACATCGCCAACCACTGCGTTATAATTAAGACGATCCAATTAGCAAACCGTCTAATGGCCAAAACTGAACATTGCGTACATGGAAGTAACTTAATCTTTACCAACTTGTAATATCCTGTGTAAACTTTTGCTGTATACAGTTTTCCGTTTAGCTGATACCAAACTATTTTAAGATTCTTTTCCCAAAGACGATATCTTTAAGATACTTTGCAACGTATTTTCCAAAAGAAAAGTTGCGCTATTAGTTTACGTTTGTCCCTCTTCGTCTTCGTTATTCGAGCTACTCCTACAGTTTTCCAGTTACTTGAAATGCGGATTTTTGCATTCAATTCTAATTTGTGTATAAAAAGGTGGGAATCCGAATTTAAGGAAATAAAATGTGGTAACTTCATTCACACGATTGCGACTTCTTTTATATACTGCATTATGTGAAAGATCTGTAGCATTTTTGTTTTTCCTTATTTTTAAGTAGCCGGAGTTTCAGCCAAATCTACTGTAGCCTGTAGCACCCCAATTCACTAGATCTTTATCTTAAGAGCTATTGTTCTACATTTTTTGCTATTTGGTTGGTTATGGAGTTATGGTGTTAAGGCTTGCACCAAGGAAGAAATCTTTTCCGCCTTCATTACTAAAAAATCAATTTTTTTCATGTAGCTACCATAATTTAACACTTTTGCCGTTTATAATTGTGCTTATAAATTCTATACGCTAAGATGCTTCTTCTAAAATCAAATTGAAATGACCTGCCAAAGAATAGGTTGTGCATGCAGTACTTGTACTAACTTTCTTATTTGTGGACGGATTTTTCTGAAATTTTAACTGAAGAAATGCACATGAAAAAATGAATTGTACATAATACCACGGCGGTGGTATACCAACATACGTAGAAAAAAACGCGTAAAACAATTATTGTGCATGCCCAGACCCACATTAGTTATTTTTTTGTTATAAAATGAAAGTAGCACAGTCAAAAATTGATTGCACATGTGCAACGCTAACTTTCTTACTTGCGTACCACTGTCTTTTGAATTTTTAACTAAGATGCTTCTTACAAAATAAATGAATGGATCGCCGTTGCGTAGAATCAACTTTTATTTTTTTTATTTTTCGAAAATTTTAACAGGAGGTGATACTTATAAAACTAAATTTAGCGCATATATAAAAAATAGATTGCGCATGCCCAAATTCAACTTTTTTATTTGTGGACCAATCTTTCTGAAATTTTAACAGAAGATTCTTCTTATAAATGAAAATTGGAACAGTAATTGCATTGCGCGTACGCAGAGCCAAGTTTTACGACTTGTGGCGTTCAGATCGTTATCTTAAGAGCTACTTTTT